TATAAATAAAATATACTTTTTTCAAATATCTCAACATTTCAAAGTTTGAATATCTCTTTGTTTCTTATTAATCAACAAAATTAACTTTTCTGCTTAATAAAATTAATTTCTTCTCGTTAGAAGCAAAAAGTGCTTTCATTAAATATTCGTTAACTCTTCCTAATGCCAAACATAAAAATATCCCTTAATTTTATCTTTCTATTAATTAATTGTATTAACATTCTCAATGAACAGAATAGATTTCTCTTGATTAAAACGTAATCTTATAAAATATTTAATAATTCTTCATAAAGCCATATTATTCATAAATTACGTATTCTTCTACCTACTACAACTTGCTTCGCAATTATTTAAAATTTTCTCTCTGAATTCTATTTTTCGTTCAATTGATCGATAGAATGAATTTTTTATCAACCCCAATGAAGCGTGTCTTAATTAAACACTCGCCTGACCCCAAAGCTTTATTCTCAAATTATACACGCCCCTGCACGTACTACAATCCATCAGACAATCAACAATCAATCCGAACTTCCCTGCGAAGCAGAAACAAAATTTCTCTCGGCGAGAATTAACCCGAATAAACACAGAAACCTCGTGTCTACATCTAGTTCACCATCCATATACAGAGATAGAAATCCATATTGGGCGCTCTACCCGCGCAAATCGTGCTATTCGACAGGCCTCTTTCCATTTTCTCCATTTGTCGAGGCAGCGGGGGAAGAGAAAGACAATGATATTCAGTCATCCTAATTAAGACCGTGTCCTTCATCGCATTATGTCGATTCACGGTGTCGGATAGAACGAGCCGAGCCACGACAATCCTCAGCCGCGTATTTACCGCTCGCTACCGCGCACAGACAATAGGGACGAGAAAACAGAGAAAACGGCATGGCCGGCACCGCAAAGGACGTCGTGGCCGACTCCGTGGCCGCTAGTCCGACATATTTACTCCGAGACGCGAATTCCCGACGAGAGAACGTGAACCTAGGTACACTTTGCTTGCCGATACGCCACCACCGGTCATGGGAAACCCGTGGTCTTTTATAACAGTTAGTCGGTGGTCGCGGCGATTCGACTAGCCTATTACGATCTGAAAACACAATCTCGGGCCCATAATCCACCTCAAATTACACTAGCCTCGGGGAAATCGGTTAATGCCGTGCATGTTGTTTTCGCGAAAACCGAGCGCTCCTCTTACTTCGTTGTCGAACCTTCGCGCTTCTACGAGAAACGGCGGCCATCTTGTCGTCGCGCTGTACTGCCCGCCGCTCGTAAGTTGACAGGTCTAATTGGTCGAGCCGAAGCTGCCGGTTTACTCCAACATAACCTACAAACGGTGCTGGAGAAAGATGAGGTATGAAAACATGGGGATAAGCTCGAGACAAATTGCTGTGATAAAATCGACACTCGAGGAAGGTAGAATATGAAAACATAAAATAGGGTCACTCACATTTTTGCTATTGGCAAAGTCGGGCATGCTGTGGATGTAAGAAGTATTCGTACAACAGCGAATTTCAGCGAACACTTTATGTAACTTTGTTTATTACGGAGAGTGTATATATATTGTTAGAAATTTGAGAAACATATGTTAAGAGGAAATGGTTTGTTCATATTTTCAGTAGGAATACTGACCAATGTTTTGAATACGATGGAAAACAAACTCGTAATCAGTATTCGTTCACTTCTATTTTTATAATGAAGAATTTTGTTAAAAATTTGTTATTAGTATTTAGTGGGATTGCTCTTTCCATTAAATCTATACAATTTCAGGGAACACTTTAGGTATCTTCGTTTATTACGAAGAGTGTATATATATTGTTAGAAATTTGAGAAACATATGTTAAGAAGAAATGGTTTGTTCATATTTTCAGTAGAAATATTGATCAATGTCTTGAATACGATGGAAAATAAACCGGCAATCAGTATTCGTTCACTTCTATTTTTGTAATGAAGAATTTTGTTAAAAATTTGTTATTAGTATTTAGTGGGTTTGCTCTTTGCCTATACAATTGCTTCAAGCTCTAGATCTTCGTGACATTCAATTTACTAAATATTTGTTATTAATTCAGATCTAATTTAGAGTTATTAGTTCATTTAAGTATTATTATTAGTGTACTTCCCAGTGTAAAAGCTTGAAAATTGGCAAATCTTAGTTTTTTTCAATAAATTTTAACATTTACTGATAAATTTTTGGATGTGGTGAAAGCTACAAATAACCCTAAGCTAACTGTTTTCTAATTTTTACCATTCCTCTATAGTAAATGTTAAAATTTATTGATAAAAGTTGGTTATTATTTAACAATTCCCAACTTTTTACTATAATGTATTATTGTTATTAGTAAAAATTTCATTATTAATTGGTTATTATTATTTTTATTCTTATTAGATCTTGTCTTATGTTTTCTGAAATATTGGCAGCGAAAATAGAGTGATCAACTTCCTTTGTCTCTGTGCCACCTAACTGCCAAGTTACGAGCGATGAACAGTACTTTCGAATCTCTTGGTGGCGTTTAAGGAAATATAAGGTTATCTTCTTGGATTAGGTAGTAAGGCTGTGAAACTTGTTAGCATATGATTCACTGTAATTTATTGTTTCTGTGTTTCTTTGTTTGGGGAAGTTTGCTTTGATTTATTCGCTTTCAAGAAAATTATGGGTTTGGGATTGAGAAAGCAGGATGGTAACAAATAGTTCTGCTTGGGAACGAAAATTCGTGAATGATATTATAGTGCAGTTTCTGGTGAATATACAGGGTGACCCGTTTATCTTGCACGGTTTTATATCTTTTTATTATTATTTAAAAATATAATAATAAATTGTGTATAATAACATACTTTAATATTAAAAGGTAAAGAAAAAGTATAATTAAATGTGTCAAAGTAATAACAACCAAATCATGATACATATTTATGGATGAAGGAATAATTAGCATGGAAATTGTGTTTTTGAAAATAGTACTTTTAATGTATGTACATTCCTCTGATGGCGGAATAGGAATGCTGTCACAATAACAAGCACAGATTAATTGCCGTGGAATGCCATCTATTTTAACGCGTATTCCTGAATGGTCACTGGAATTCACGTGTCCTCAACATGCTAACTTAATTTTCTATGAGATAGTTTTGATGAGTGTTCGCTGCTTCTGTTCTTCAGAATCGAGTTCATATCTAGTTTGCTCGAATTGCATACTTGATTGCCATTCACTCGACTGTTCTTTCTTGTAAATCTCTCAAATCGACTGCTGTATCGTTTCATATACAATTTTACGAAAAAGTTATACTACAAATGCAACAGTGGACATCTTTGACTAGGATAGTTCTCCAAAATTTATATTTTTATTTAAAAAATCGACAAGATGGTAGAATAAGATTGGATTTAGTCAAGGAAGGAAATAAACTAATAATAAAAATAAATTGGTCTAATGTTCATCAATTGTTCATATAATATGTCAATTGTGTATAATAATAAGAGTATTTTATAATGGTAAAGATCTGTTATTACTGCTAGTGGAGACGCTAGCGCCATCTAGATCACGTGATCTCCAGATCTGTTAACCTTTCGTATTTGCAGAGATGTTTACAGATCCTTTTTAGCTTTATGTACATAAACTATTGTTTATTGTTTTTGTTCAGACTGATATTGTTCAGTATTTATGTTACAAAACTAATTTTCGTTTTCGAGACACCATAAATTGGAAATTAGCCTTAAACTTTGAAATACGTGAAGTTATTAACCTTAATATTAATTATTGATATTAAGTTATTGACCTTAAATAATATTAAGTATAATAAAGAATAATATTAATACTATTAAATAATATATTCTATATCGTTTCACAATCATAAAATATATTATATAATAAATTTAATATATCATTTTATTTAATATTAATTTTAATCTTACATTCTTTTACAGATTTTACTGCTTTCTGTATAATATGTTTTAACATGTTACATATTTTATATCATTTTACACGGAAGTTTCTTAAGATCGTAATATTTAATTCAATGTATAAAGAGAATCAAATTAAATTGTGTTTTCATGTTTGGAAATAGATTCAGCATAGAACATTAATTAATAGCTTGCGATATTTCTTAAAATGTGTACTCAGTTCATATTTCATTACATTCCATATACATGGAATTCAGCATTTGTTCACTAAGTATATCGATTATCACTGCATTTGCTTACTAGAAGTGATAAATAAATACTAAATGGAGTGGGAACATGGATCGCAATGTATGTATCGGGCAAAATCAAATATTTCACAGTGTAAAATATAAATGCATTTAACTGTGTATTATGAAGATAGATCTTGTATTAAATTGCAGATTAAGTTAATAATCACTGTATGAATTGTATTACCATATTATGCGCACTGCATTTGTACTTATAATTTCATGAGTAGACTGAACATGTTGTTTCAATTAAATACAATTACTTCAAATAATCCGCACGATTATTTAAAAATATATATCAAATTTACCTAACGTTATAATAAACGTATTACAATCTAAAAAATATTTTATATTTCAAATTAAATAACGTATAGTACATTTACTACACACTTCATTCATTGAGAACATAGCTTGTTTTTTTAAAAATAATTTTTTCAAGCTATACCACGTTTAATATTTTACATTAGCATGATAATAATATTTTTCACGTCAAGGAAATGAAATTTAAATTTACAAAAAATTGAGAATTTAAACTTAAATTAATAATTATAATTGTAGTTCCATCTTTTACCTTAGTTAAAAAAAACCTACACGATATAAGAATCGAATATACTACATCCTAAGTTTGTCTCCAAAAATGAAACCAAATGAGAAAAAAGAAAGAATAAATCTCCCAAATTGAAATCATTCCAAGGGTAAAACATTCTATGGATCCAAAACCAGGAATAAAGAGAGAAAAGGAACGTTATACACGAACCTTTGCAAAAACAAACAGTAAAATAGAACGGAATAACCTAATTGAACCCCTGCACTGTGTCTTTCAGAGCCGTGGTGACAGCGGTCTCCTGGCATCCCCATGGCAGCTACCTCGCCTCGGTGGACAGAGCAAAAGCGGTGACGGTCTGGGCCGGCCATGTTTAACAGGCAAAACAAACCGAGATAGACGATTGTTCCACGCACGAAGGTCAGCGCGTTCTTTTGTGCCGAGATTGGACGTTTACGTAATCGAGAATCGTGGATGGAAGCTGCGCGCCGCAGAGGTAACGCGAAAGGACACACCGGTGCAGGATACTAAAAATCAGCGGACGGTTTGGGCACCGCGGGTTGTAAAGAATACCATTTCCAGGCTGTACAAAGCGAGGCAACCGCGATGAAGCGGATTCAGGCACAGTGGAGATTATTGTACATAAAACTGGCACTGATTGTTGCCCCCAAGGTTGTAAAGATTTCCTTTCTTTTTAGGGTAATACCCGCGCGCCACGACTGCGTCCCTCCCTCGGAAATTCAACAGATTAACGTAGTTATCCCTTTCGAGATTCGCTAGATACGCTCCTTTTTTTTACCTCTAAGAGACTATCCTCGCGTTCCAATCGTCTCTGTCGGCGATCTCTCACGTTGGACTGCGCTCGAGTTCACTCGAGGCCCGCTGGTGGCGCCACCGTCGCGCGCACCGAGTCGGCCATCTATATGCTCGCGTCTCGCGTGTACTTCGGTGGTTTCTCGCTCGTTCGTGGTTGATCTATCGATGATCAGTCGCGGGTCTGGAGCGCTGTTTTTGGTTAAAGAGAATCGGGGAAGGAAAATAGCGGGCGAAGTCACACAGCAAGTTCGTTAATTGCTGTGGCAAGCGTGAAATCGAGTCTACTCGAACTACTCCAACGTCAGCGAGTTTCGAACGCTTTTTTTATCGTTAAGTCTGATGTAGGGTGCAAGTGGATGTACTCGTTGAACGAAGAAGCACAATAAAATTCTGATACCGGGGAAATTGAATTATACGAAATTTCGTTTGATCGAAGAGTAACGTGGTGGATGATGTCGAGTTTTTCGTGCAAGATTTAAAGGTTAACTCTGTATGGGCCATTCCACGTTTAAATGGTAGTTGGAATTAACGACTTTTAAATTCGCCAGCTTTGTTGATCGTCTATCGAAGTTTAATGGGTGTCTGAGGTTATTGGCTGGAAGTAAGGTTTTGGGGTAACGGTTTTTCATGGATGAGGAATTCGAAGGAGAATACGAACTAATATTACTTCTTGTATTTTACTTAGGATACTTTAGAGCTGGGTTATAATTTAGGATTAAGATTTAGCTTTTAATATTCTGCTTGTAATCGTCTGAAAGGAAAATTATTTTCATTTGAAAGATATGTATTATTATATATATCTTTAAAAGGATATATTTTTTTTCCTGTAACAGTTATGAAGAAGTGGAGGCAATAAAAGTATTAGTTTTGGATTTTTGGATATTTGGATAATGGCTTTGTATAAATTAAATGTTTAAGAATGTTGATCATCATCAGTATCAGCCATCTTGAAATCAACCATTTTCAGCTGAATATTATACACCAGAAAAAGAACCTGATTAATTACATTTTCTATCTTTGTTGAATAATTGAGATTTAATTCTTTAACAAGAATTTCAATAATTTTTACTAAAATTACTGTACTATAAAAATGATGAAAACTATATATAATATAACAATGCTGCATATTTTAAAACTTTGATATATAGTTAAAATTGATTGTAAATTGAAATTTATATTTGGAATTTAGTTTAATTAGTTAGAATTGAATATATCATTGTTTCACATCACTGAATACTGAAGAAATATCAATTTATTATATCAAATTATTAGATATGGTACTAATTTTTTAGAAACTGTTGTAGATTTATTACAAACTTCTAAAAGTTTATATTATTAGATCTGACTGGTTCTTCAAATTTGTTACGTTATAGAACGTCCTTTAAATGGGAAATAATTAGAAGAAAATGGATTCATGTTTGTTTCATTACATTTTCATTTGTACATCTCATTTTCCTAATGACATTATACATTTCTCACATTTTCACTGAATATAGTATCTCTGTTTGCTCAGTATAATAGTCATATTCTAAATTATTGGCATCTACTATAAGCGAATTAACACTAACACTAATTTCTTGATAATAATCTGAAATAAAATATTATTAAAACCAACTTAATACTAAAAATAAGCAATCTAATATTATTACTAATTACAAATTTGACTGTTATTTAATAACTATCTCTATCTAAAAAATTGCTCTTACTGAAAAAATCCTAGTTACTAATTTTACAATTATAATTAGAGCTGCCATGTCTTAATTGTATTCAAAAAAGCAATCAATAGGTTTTTATTGCGCAAGCAAAACAATGATCAAATTAGAAAAGATTCTCTATTGTATAATATTACCTATAATTATTACATAAAATTAGTTATCTTACCTAAAATTATAAACGATGATTAAGTATCACCCATTAGAAATTAAAAAATAATATAAAACACCCATACTTTAGAAATTAGTTGAACTCTGGCTCAAGTCGATATGGACACAATTTGCCATTACTTCAATTCTTCATAACTGTTCCACAGTAAAGTTTAATATAATAATAATTGTTAATATTACGATTAAGAATAATTTCAACCCCCATTTTTTATACTTTAAATGCACGATGAGAATTTTAATTAATTTTTAATCTCACTCACAAAACGTACAAAATGGGTCGAAATGAGCAAAAATTCGATAATGTCGATTTTGCTACGTTTTCCATTGATTTTTCACGTTCCTTTTTAAACGATCCGTAAATTGTTATAAAAAGATGAACTTTTTAGCGAGCTATGTAGCCAGTTCGATACCAAACGAATGCAATAAATATTCACGGTGCTCCACCCACTCTCAAAAACACCCTCAACTTCTCACGATGTTTCGATTACCATAATGAAATCCCGATCCATTAAACAATCTTACGATACGAATATATTTTTAACTTCACCAAGTTCGAATTAATTGTAAAAGAAATAAACTATTTTGCATAAATTCTTTGTACCATTTATCTATTTATCTCAGAGAAGAATAAACAGAAGATAGATATTTTTATATTCTCATTAAATAGTTTCAAATTTCTAATTATATTAATAAACAATAGCTTATTTTTGCTTGGTATATTCATAATAATAATTATCTAAATCCTTATCTTATTTAAATAATCTTATCTACCAATTTTTAACAAGAAGCTATATCTTATGCTAACTTTTTAAGGTTCTGTGCTGGCTTTTTATGTATTCCTTCTTCTTTTTTCAAGTTTTAGTGTAAGAAACATGGATTTTTGTATTTAAAATGAATTTTTCAGTTTTATTGCACGGGCTTAGGAGTATACTGAAGTATTCGAATAATTTGAATCGTGAATATTTAACGAAAGAAATACACATGTTGAGCTCAAATTTTAGAAATATTAAGTATTGGGTGCTGTACGTAGAATAAGACACGAATATTGACAATAAGACAGGTATCGAAAAATTCGTAGAATATTAAACGCGAATTTTTCATAAAAGAAATTATTATGGAATTTCATATCGTTTGTAACAAAAACTAGAAATCACAAATATTACGATTAATAATGATAGAGGGTAGGTAGACTTACAACAAATATCAACAAAATTAATTAAGAAAGAATTAATTATTTTTTAAATATTTTTGTCACCTTAGCAAATGCATGTTCACATTCAGCATCTCACTAATTTTTCAGTATTTGTCAGACTTTTTCAAATTGCCCGTATCCTAGACACTTAGATCTCTTTTCAAATGTAGGATTATTTTAAAAATTTAAATCCAACGTGCACCCTTAATTAGTTAAATATCCAAAACTCCAGTTACTCGAATACTTTTATGAACGAGTGTACATTTGTTCACAAAAATGAATAAAAGGAGAAATAATTTTTGTATATTCGTTATTTTTCAATGCACATAAATTAAAATTAAAGACAGACTGAAGAGATTAGATCTTACATGTTAATAAATAATATTTGGTTTCTAATATTTTATATAAAACCTACTTCTAATTTTAATCAATATATCTCAGAAGATACAGAATATATAAAAGTTCAAAAATTAATTTGTTTCTCGATTTTTGTCAATAAGTGCATTATTAGCAGGTTCAACCAGTTAGAAGAAGCATATTAGTATTGGTGCATTTTACGTGAAATGACTCATACATTGGCCATCGCGATTTTCGTTTCAATATGCAATATAAGGGGCCGTTACGTATACTGGCCGTTCGCGAGAAGGAGTTAGGCGAGTGTTAACATCCCCACTCCATCCCCACTCCACGCCCACCATGTGACCTCGTCACTGCCTTCAACTTGTAACAACCAACGCCTGTGATGATATAGTATCGAACTAAATGACAGCACACCCTATAATTTTCAGAATTTTTTGAAACGTTTATTCGGATTTTCTTGATTTTTTGGTTCCTTGATAATATAAAATGAAGATTATGTGAAGTTTCCATTTTTTTAAATAAATTTTACTTGTTCATGTGAATAATCGGTGCGACAAGGTGACAACTCAGGTAATCGGATCAATAAAAACCTAGAAAGATATTGTATTTTTCAATAATGAAAAGATTTCTTACATATTTTTATTCATTGAATCCGAATCTGTCAGCAAAAATTATTCACCACATAAAGTTTAAGAAATAAGTAAGTAAAAGCCATTAATTTCTATTATATTTACTGTATTCACCTAATTACTATTATTATTCACGAAATTATTCCAAAGAAAAAAATCTTTATCCAATATTTTTATTAGCTTTATTGTGCAGCAGTATCCATCCTATGTAAAATTAAGTTCGATTTATAATCCTATTAATTTTTTTTTTCTATCAAGATATAATATTTTGAAGTTCTTAAGAAAAACTGAAAATCATAGGGTGCGTTGTCACTTATTGTTAACCACGCATTGTATATATATATATAGCAGGTTTATTTTTCGTCTAACAAGATGCCTATATCAAAGAAATTAGAGTATTCTAACTCTTATTAAAATTAAAGATGGCATGAAAATCGGAAAAGTATGAATGTAAGCGTTTATACTATTATTCAAATGATGGTTATCTCTTTGTCCCGCATTGTACGAAAACTATGCTTCGTTGAATGAGAATTGGCAGGAAATATAAGCAGC